CTGAAGACGCATACCAAATAGAATATATCAGAACCAAACCAAAAGAAGGAAAGAATGAGCAATTTATATCACTGAAGAAATCAGGAATTGACATTCGCGCTTGCCAATTAAAAAGAGCACATTAAAGAAAGAAAGATGAAGATTCATTTGGAATTAAAAACAGAGAACTAGTCCTCAACGCAGTGCTGAAAACTCGAATAGCAGAATTATCATATGAGCTATTATTTATTGAAATTACGGTAACAATCAGATGTTAAAATGTGTCAATAATAAATAAAAATTAGTTAGCTTAAATTCAGATTCTATGTTCTAAAAGAAGTTACAGAAAAAAGTCAGATCATGAATTTGATTACTCAAATCTGAAACGATCAACTAGCAAGAGAATAATCAGATCGATTACACATGAGTCATGAAAGAACATAATTAAGCCGTATACCTTTAGACGACAGCTGCGACTCTGCAGGTGGTAAGACCTCATCTGATAGATCAGGAATCTCCTTCCAAGCATCTATCATCTGATTCATTGTCTCTCTCACTGCCTTCACCTAATCAAATCAACCTACTTTACATCAGTAATTCTATGTACAGATAAATCTCCATTTCAAAATCAGTTTATTAGTAGTAAGATGTCAAACAGATTTCAACGAGGATCCAATTCAACATCAGACCTTGTCAAATCTCTTCGCCTCGAAAGTCTTCAAACACGAACTTTTGTATTCAGACAAAGCATATTTCTCCGCCCCAGCGATCTTTATCAATGCCTCTGCAGCAGCCTTCCTAGCGGCCCAGTCCTCACTACTTACGAACTCCACAAAACACATCACTAAATTCTTAATCAGGTTCTTTCCACTACTACTCAACACTCCATTAAGTTCCACCACGCTCCCCATCAGCGTCAACAATGCAGCTTTTGCCCTGAAACTCTCGCATTTTGCCAACTTCTCGAACCTCGGCAACAGGCGTTTCAAGCTACCGGAATCCGGATTTTGTGATCCTTCGATTATAGAAACCAAACACAGAGCAGCCCCGGTCTGAGTGTTGAAATCCTGTTCTCTGAATAGAGATTCAAGGAATGGCTTGGTAATGGAAGCAAAAGACG